ACCACCACTACTGCCACCACTACTACTACCACTACTACTACTACTACTACTACCACCACTACTACTACTACTACCACCACCACTACTGCCACCACTACTACTACTACTACTACTACTACTATCATCACTAGTACTATTATTATCATTATTGTTATTCCTCGTACTCTTACTATTAGTATCTGCAGCCTTGACAAGGTTGGACTTGGCTTCAAGCATAAGTGGCCAGGGTTTGGAGGTGGAGAACCCTTCAAGAAACAATGGAGCTATAGCTATCCTCAATAATAGGCCCTATTATACTCCCCTATATAATTGCATAATAATCACCCTCACATGAGCTATAGTCTAAACTCCTAGTATCCCCCTTAATAACCCCTATAGTAGTCCCCTATAGAATCCTCTATATAACACCCCTTTAAGGAGTTTAGACTTTAGCTCATATAATCTCCTAAACCCTAAGCCCCCTTTAAGGGGTGTAGACTCTAGCTCAAGTGGTGGTCAGATTGAAGGTGCCTTAGAGCTTGGCTCAGATTGCATCATGTCAACATGCTGTCGATGCGACGCTCTGCCTCTTCGCGCTGCTTGTGCAAAAATGTGGGCAAAATCTACCCTAAATCCTAAACTTTAAACCCCTAAACCCTCTAAAACCCCACACCCCTAAACCGCAGTTGGGGGCATGAATGAAGACTGAGTGGGCTTTATCTAACAGCTACTCCATGGCCCTACTAGTAGGCCATGCGAGCTACAGTCTAAACTCTATATAAGGGGAGTATATGGGGGAGTATTAGAGGGACTATTAAAACAAGGGGGATGCCAGTAGTTCAAGCTGTAGCTCCTGGACTAAATTTGTAGTATATCCCTTAATAGGTCCCCCCGCAAAACCCTATATAGTCCCCTATAGGTCCCCAGCAACCTAAATTTAGTCCGTAGCTCATATAGGCCATGTAGGCCTAGGGTCCTTGATGCACTCGCTGCCAGGCAGTTAGTAGAGCTTGGATGGGATCCACTTTGGAAAGCTGAAGTCCTACGCAATCCAAATTTGTTATGTGGAATTATATGGGGGTTAAAAAGGATTATATGGGGGCTATATAGGATTATGTGGGGATTATACCTGGATTATAAGGATTTTACCACGATAATGGGGAATCAAAAGGAAAAGAACATGAACAACGAAATGAAAACAACATGAATTCTAAGCCAGCAAGTGCGGAATAGTGCCTTCAATGCATGCTCAACCTTGCTAATTGATGGATGCTACCAATGCTGCGGCTGGTGTTGCTTCAATGGGGTGTCCTCTCCGTGGCGCAGCCCAAAATGCTCGATCTGTTTTACCAGCCATTGGCACAACGGATACATGAAGCTCTTCAATGCTTTCCTTCAATACTGCTTCCTTGTGGCCTAGACGCCTTGGTCCCAAGAAAATGGTCCCATGACCACCTTACCGCAGCATACATGTGCCTGCAGATTTGAGCCCATCTTGCACAGGACCAGCAAACTGACTGCTTGCCATGCTGTCTGCAGCTACTCTTCCAACAGCAAATGCCGGAGTTTTGCTCCGCAAGTCGGTGAATCGGAGAGTTGCCAGCGCTACGCTCGCAGCTGGCCGCATCTGGCACTTCATCTTTGCTGTTCCGGAAGACTTTGCCTGTTGCACTGAGAGTCCGGAAATGTCCAGCATCCAGCATGGGAGCAATGCCCGCAGGCTCATGACCGGCCCGCGGACCTGACGGTCGAACAAGATTCCAAATTTCTTAAGAGAAATACCAATGCGGCGCATGACCTTAAGGAAAGCATGGCAGCACACATTCAAATCCTCAGCAAGTATTCGATGAGGACAGCTGCATAAGGGCCTCTGCCATACCAGCGAAGCAAGCTAATGACTCCGTAAGCCCCCTAAAGGATCCGAAAATGTAATAGTCCCCTAGTTACCCCAATGTAGTAATGGGTTCATATTGGGGGGGGGTCCATTTTTTGGAAACTTTAGGGGGTCTGGGTTAAGATCTATATACCCCCTATAGAACCCTATATACCCCCATAGAACCTTTAGGGGGTCTGGGTCTCTAGTTGCCGCTTCGTAGCTTGAGCTGTGCTCTTCTTCGATCCGCCAGCTCAGCAGCCCAGGTAGGCTGCAAAGGCCCACGGGTGAACTCGGCTCCTTGAAGGGGAGTCCCTTTAGAGTTGAGGATTTAGGGTTTAGGGTTGAGGATTTAGGGATACCAATAAGGATCCCAGCATGTCAGGAGTAACACCGGAACCCAATGTTGCTACATGGGCTCTCCTGCGATGACACCCTGGCTAACTCCAGAGCCAGTCCCTCCATATCCCGACCGCGCCATCTTGAAAGGGTTCCTGGTGAGCTTGCGCACAGCACATGAATATCCTCTGTTCCTAAACGCAGAGCTGTTATTATTACTATTACTACTATGGCATTTATTATCACTATTACTATTCTTGCTATGATTGCTTTATTATTCCTATTATGACTACTCTTACTCTTCTTACTATTGCCCTAAACCCTAAACCCCTAAGCCCTTGCTACTCTGCTGTGCAAGCCAGGAAGCCCAGATCTGTCTTCATGAAGTCGAACCTCCTTCTCAGGAACTCTGGAGTCCTGGCGAGTGTTTAGGATAAGGAGTTTGTAGGGTTCTATAGGGGGTATATAGATCTTAAGCCAGGCCCCCTAAAGGATCCAAAAATGGAACCCTCCCAATATGAACCCACTACTACATTGGGGTAACTAGGGGACTATTGCATTTTTGGATCCTTTCGGGGGTCTGGGAAATAGGGTTTAGGGTTTAGAGTTTAGGGCAATCAGGCGTACCCAAACATGTCATGGTGACCCCATGCTGCTGAAAAAGCCCGCTTGAATGTGCTGCGCTCCTGCGCAGACTCTTGCCCCTGGCCCTGCAGATGCGCGATCAGTGGAGCACCTGACACAAGAGCTATGCAGCTACATGTCTCCGAAATCCATGCGTGATGTCGTGAAGGTACATGCATGCAATCCCTCTAGGTCCATGACCTCTTCTTTAGATGGGGGTTCCATAAATTTGGGGTACCATTTTGGGGGTCCCAGTAATAAGGCCTGTAATATATTTGGATCTACATTGGGGTCCCCCTACTTCTAGAAACTACCAGATGAACTCAGGTCTGTTGATAGCAGGAGGCGCGCGAACAGCTCGATCTATGTTAAAAGCACGGCGCCAGCCCGAGTCCAGCCTTCTAATGCTGGTGGTAGTCCTGCTATGATGATGACGACTTTGACGTTTGCTAGACAGAGCAAGAGCTAACCAAGATGGGATGGTTCACATACATATAACAGTAGTAATAGCAATACTAGAAATACCAGAATTCACAGTAATAATACGAATAACAGATAGTTCTGCAGCACTCCCAACCCCTTATGCGGAGACGCGATTTCTAAGATTTGCACTTCGTGGCATGGCCAGCACGCGCGGTGCTGTGGAGAAAGCCTTCTGAGTGGGTACTGCCGCATTTCGCCTGCGCAACATAGAGATAATCGAAACTCCTTGAAGGGGATATACAAGGGATTCTATAGGGGACTACTATAGGAGTTACTAAACGGGGATGCTAAGACTTTTGTCTATGGCTCACATGGAGATGTGCTTGCAAACAGGACATCTCCATGGGTACACAGACGCTCTAATTCTGGCAGCTACCAAGCTACACGTCTTAGCATGCAACTTTGAAACCCATTTTGCTGGCCTGAGGTCTGGTCCTTGTTCATCCATGGCAGGCAGCCAAAATGAATGGCGCTTAGCTGGGGCGACCCTCTGCTTGAGCCCAACGCTGGCACCACAGCACACACCAGGAAGCTTTTATCTCACCGCGACGCCCTGAAATATGATTCTGTCTGGAAGCACATTATCCCTACATAACCTATTAATCCCCCTTTAAGGAGTTTAGACTATCCCTATATAACCTTACATAGCCAGGCTGCACAAGCTGCCTGTGGCATGTCCCGCAGGGGTAGCTCAGCCAGGAATGGCTTCACCTCATGGCAGCATCAGCGCCAGAACTATGTCCTATAATCCCGATAGATCCCCTATATAATCCCAATACAATCCCTATATAATCCCTATATAATCCCTATAAAAAAGTTGCCCTTATTCCCACTAAACCCTAGTAAGACTAGGGAGCATAGGCATCTTTGCTGGTGGACCCCCGCAGTGCCTCCTTCTCCAACACCCTCCGCATGCCGTTGGGCTTGCAAGCCTGCCACACACAAAATTGCTGAAATAACTTACTGGGGGTTAAGGGTTTAGGGTTTAGGGTTAGTAAGGAATATAGTTCCTGTCTAACCCCTCTATGATCTGTTCCTTATTCCCTGCCAACCCCTAGCAGGATGATAGCAACCTGTTGGAAGACTTATAGAAGACTACTTTTACTTGGAGTTTCAAGGGGGAGACCCTGAATTTCATAACCGCAGGCATCGCTGCTTCTAGCTCCGTGCAACAACAGAGCACTAAACGGAGAATCCAAGCTATCCTGGCAAGGAGCAAGGATTATGGTGAAAAGGGTTTAGGGTTTAGGGTATACTGGAACCAAGAATAGTAATAGCAAGGAAGAACATAGATGCTACTCATGGCAGGCACTGGCATAGTGATTACAACTTCAGGTCCTTCCCAACCTCAACCCACATCCCATCACAAACTCGCTCTCTCCCCAAGCACAACCCATGCACCCCCAAGCCTAAGCCCCTAAACCCCATATGACCCCATTCTAGTAATTTCCATGTCATTTCCATTATCCCTATATAACCCTAGACAAACCCAAACTCCCAACTCCTGGCTGCAAACCCGCTCCTTGGTGGCAAGCTTGGCAACGAGCTGGGTAGGTCCGATGCCAACACTGCAGGTGCAGCCTGGCGTCCATTATGATTGGTCAGTTGGGGGATATACTGGGATTATGGAAAAGAAAATAGAAATAAAGGGTTATATAGGGATTATGTGGGGTCTGGGGGTTTAAGATTCAGGCGGGTCCTTGTTCGGTCTGCCTGTTTCAGGTTCGGCTCCTTGCCTCTTGCTTCTTGCACTCTCACGCAATGGCTGTTGTCAGTTGTTATGCTATAGATGGTCACAAAGCTACAGCAGCAGCCAGAATGATGGCACCGCTATAAGGATAGTGACCACCGCCCTGTGGAACATCATTGGCGCAAAGCCAGTGATAAGAGCAATAGTCAGGGGCACAACGACAGCAGTACAGACAGGAGTGCTAACCTCGGAAAAAGGACCAGTCCTGGCTGTAGCCACCCATCAGCGAAAGATACCGTGTTGAGACGGCGCGTATCCCCAAACAACCATCCTACCCATCTGGCAGCCACAATATAGCTGCTATACCGCACAAAAAAAAGCAACACAAGAACCCACATTCTTTACGTCGCGCCCCAATCCCTAAAACTTGGGCCCGAACCACAATCCCCAAACCCTGCCCAAAATCTGAACCTGAAACTTAGATGGGAATTCATTTTAACTACCCGTCTAGAATGTTCAATCAATAGGGAATCCCCTTTGTCCCGTTACAATCCCCATGTAACCCAGGCCAGGGTCGCCCCAGGGTCCCCATGTTTTGCGAATCTCTCATAACACTCCAGAGTATATGTATATATACATATACACATATCATATACCCAGTTTCCATCCCTTGCTCCATTTTCTGAATTCAAATTTGGCTCTGCACTTTTGGGGGTTGTAAGCCCTATAAATCCCTACAATCTCTACATAGTAGTTTCCGTAACTAGGGGAGCCTTCTTTTGGGAAACCCCCATGTACCCTCATATTGAGAGACTCCTAAACAACCCTAAGCCACCCCATAAGCCCTCAGCCCCAAACCCTAAGCCCTACACCCTAAGCCCTAAACCCTAAGCCCTAAACCCTACACCCTAAACCCTACACCCGAAACCCTGAAGCCACCTTATAGTCTGACACTCCAAGATCCTGTAAAGTCTGGCGGCCTGTCTGTAGGCGGACGGCGCTGCGGAGGGCTTCAGCCCAGGCCATGGGATCCTAACTTTGGGGTTGAAACCATATTAATATGGGTTTAGGGTTTAGGGTTTTATTGGGATAATGGAAAAGAAAATGGAAACTACTAGGGATTCTATAGAGGTTATATAGGGGTTATAGGGTATATATTGGGGTTATATTGGGATAATGGAAAAGAAAATGGAAACTATAGGGATTATAGGGATTATAGGGGATATATTAAGCCCGTTCGGCTTTATGTTTCAGGGTTTAAGGGTTTAGGGTTTAGGAAATAAGGGTTTGGGACCCTTCGACAACCATTTTACCCTTGAGGCTTGAGGGTTTAAGATAAGGATGTGGGGGGTTCAAGGGTTTAAGGGTTTAGGGATTGAAGGGTTTAATCTAAGGGTTTAGGGTTTAAGGGTTTAGGGGTCGAAGGGTATAGGGCTTTGGAGTTGAGGGTTTAAGGGTTTAGGTTGAAGGGTTTAGGGTTTAAGATTTCAGGGTTTCAGGGTTTAACGGTGTAGGGTTGAAGGGTTTAGGGCTTCGGGTTTAAGGGTTTGGGTTTAAGGTTTTAGGTTTAGGGTTGAAGGGTCTAGGGATGTAAGGATACCCATGATACAGGGGCTAGATAGGGATGTATGTAGGGCGGGTTATTACTCTATCGATGGAGAAACACATGGAGAAGAACAGGGAACATGCCATGGAAATCGGGCGTCCAGAGGGATCTGTAGGTTTCGAAGCTTAGTGTTTGATACCTCTGGTTAGCAGGGAGTGAAGGAATGGACAGGCCAATTGAAACGACGATGTTAACAAAGATGGTTTGGGGACCTGCCATAATAGGATCTGTTGCTTCATTGCTTGCCAACCGGAAGTATTCTTGGTGTGCGGGGCGGGGATATACAAAGGTATATAGGGACATGTGGAGATACATCATTCAGAGGAATAGCTACGGACAAGAGTTTAGCTCTCTAGCTGACAGCCTGTTGTTCCAGCAAGTTTTTAGCTCAAGGCTTGGGACTCGGCAAAATTGTAGAGCCCCTTCGGGTCATTGCTCTATCATTGCTCTACAATATTTACTGCAGTCTCCTTAGACCTATAATAAGAACAAAACTTTAAATGATTCCCTATACTTATACTATAAGAAAATAAGAATAACTCCTAAGGAGACTACAGTTTAAGAATCTAAGAAGATCCTAATCTCACTTCTGCGAGGACAACGAATCTGTGCGGCAACCTTCTCCTCCTTTCCTTCCTGAAATGGTAGGTTGTCAAGTATATGGTCACTTCTTGGGGAACTAATCATAAAGCCGCCCAAAGAAGAGGCCACCATTTGAGCTACAGTCTAAACTCCTAGTACCCCCTGAATCACCCTATGATACTTATACAATCTCCTATATAACCTCCATTAAGGAGTTCAAACCCTAAACCCTATAAACCCACTCCCTAAACCCCAGACAAACCCCTTTAAGGAGTTTAGATCCGAAACCCTAAACCCCTAAACCCAAGCTGCACATGCTCGTGCTCTGGCCTCGACTCCTTTCACTGACAATGCCTCATTGCTGAGTTTTAGGGTTTAGGGGTTTAAGAGGTTTAGGGTTTTAGGGTTTAAGGTTTTAGGGTGTAAGGCTTTAGGGTGTAAGGTTTAGGGTTGAAGGGTGGGGGTATAAGGGGCCTAGGGTGTTGGGTCAAAATTATGCTCCCTTCTTTTGGGGTATGAACATCTTCCGAGCTGTGCTCTACCAGGTACTCAAAAAGGGACTATACTTTGACGAATCCACTGTTTCTAAATCACTTTATTGAAGTATTTTGAAGACTGACTGAGTGGTACTGTAAAGCGACCCCCCCAAGTTACCTATAAATAGGGTCCCTCATACTGCAATAAGGGGAAAGTATGGGTTATCTCTAAACTCCCAACCCCTAAACCCCAAATCCTAAGTGCCACCTAGCTGAGTTCAGCGCAGCTTCATCACAGGATCTCATGAGAACGCTATCCGGGTCATCATGGCAGGCCAGGACCTGACTGAAGCAACTGGGAGATTCCTGAAATTGTGGCATAGAATCCTTCATAGGACTCCACATAGAACCCCCCAAAAACCCTGGAGTCCGAGAATGACCCCCTGTTTTGAGGAACCCACGAATCACTGCTCCCAAATCTTCTTTTCTTGCAGGGAAAATGGACTCAGCTGGTGGCAAGCAGCTGGTAAACCTGCATGAGGGGGTGGGGTGTGCTGCTGCAACTTTTGTTTGGATGAAGTCAGCTCAGACAAAAGCTGCGGCAGCTTTTTTCAGCCTTGCCTAGAGTCAATTTTTGGGAGGTGTTTTATGCACCCGCCATGCCTCCTTCCATGTGTCTTCCACCTGGTAAGTGCAGCTGCACATGTGAGCCACAGTCCAAACTCCTAGTATCCCCTTTGATATCCCCCTTCGTAGTCCCCCGAAAAAGTCCCTTCTGTAATCCCCTTGAAAGAGTTTAGATTATGGCTCATGTGGAAGAGCAGTGCAACAAAACTTGGACGCTGGCAGAACGAAGAAGCTCTGATGAGATCGGAATCATCCGGAGCCTCGCGCTAGACTGGGTTGCTGTTAACAGACTTAGTCTAAGCGACTATACTAAGGAAACTCTACCATTTACTGTATACCCATAGTGTGGTAGCTTAAATTGAAGTCCTTTACAGTAACCCAGTAGAATGCTGGCATTCGTGAAAGGTTTGCAGTCAAACTTAGCGAGAGACGTGGGGAGGACCGCGCGAGCCCGCTCAACGCACCAC